TACTTTACTTTTACTTTAACTCTAAAAAGAGTTAAACTCATAATTTTATGAATGTTCCATGAATGTTTCACTGTGAAAATGTTCTGAATCATAACGTGTTTCTATTGTCTCACAGCTGAATCCGTCTGGATCAGAACCGGACGGTTCGCTCTCGCCATCATCTGATTAACCGAGCCGCCTGCAGGAAATGTCAGGTTTCCTGCTCTTCCTCCGCCAGCCGCCGGCTCGGGTAACCGGATGAAGAGCAGATACATCTCAGAACCAGAGCAGGCGTGTTCGGCTGTCCGCGGTCCGGTTTCAGTCAGAACCTCTGTAACAGGCCGTTCATAAAGCTACACTGTCAGAAATAAACAGCATTAATCTGGATTATTAATTTTTAGTCTGTTACAGGAGAAAAAACAGGAAGTTCATTTTTAAAAGTCATATTTTCACCACATTATTCATTCACTCATAAATGCCACAATTTCAAACTAAATATTCAGCTTAAAAGTAAGTTTAGCTAACATTTACCTCCAAACTAAATATTTCATAAGCAAGTACCTTGCTAACTAAATGTTTACCTACATATTTTCTAATTATTTAATTTGAGCTAAGTGACATTTATGAATAAATTAAATCCAACAGGTTGATTTTAAAAATACAACATGAAACAAAGAACTCATGAAACTCTAAAAAGCTCCACATCCACCAAGGACTACAACTCCCATCAGCCTCAGCAGCTGTTGCTATGGAAACAGACCCATCCACATCCAAGAGAACCATATAAAAGACCCTGTTACCATGATCCAACCGTTCATCCAACCGTTCATCCAACCGTTCATCCAACCGTTCATCCAACCATCCATCCAACCGTTCATCCAACCATCCATCCAACCATCCATCCATCCATCCATCCATCCAACCGTTCATCCAACCGTTCATCCAACCGTCCATCCAACCGTTCATCCAACCGTTCATCCAACCGTTCATCCAACCATCCATCCAACCATCCATCCATCCATCCATCCAACCATCCATCCAACCATCCATCCATCCAACCATCCATCCAACCATCCATCCAACCATCCATCCATCCAACCATCCATCCATCCAACCATCCAACCATCCAACCATCCATCCAACCGTTCATCCAACCATCCATCCAACCGTTCATCCAACCGTTCATCCAACCGTTCATCCAACCGTTCATCCAACCGTTCATCCAACCATCCATCCAACCGTTCATCCAACCGTTCATCCAACCATCCATCCAACCGTTCATCCAACCGTTCATCCAACCGTTCATCCAACCGTTCATCCAACCGTTCATCCAACCGTTCATCCAACCATCCATCCAACCGTTCATCCAACCATCCATCCATCCAACCATCCATCCAACCATCCATCCAACCATCCATCCAACCATCCATCCATCCAACCATCCATCCATCCAACCATCCATCCAACCATCCATCCATCCATCCATCCAACCATCCAACCATCCATCCAACCATCCATCCATCCAACCATTCATCCAACCGTTCATCCAACCGTTCATCCAACCGTTCATCCAACCATCCATCCAACCGTTCATCCAACCGTTCATCCAACCGTTCATCCGTTCATCCAACCGTTCATCCAACCATCCATCCAACCGTTCATCCAACCGTTCATCCAACCGTTCATCCAACCGTTCATCCAACCGTTCATCCAACCATCCATCCAACCGTTCATCCAACCATCCATCCAACCATCCATCCATCCAACCATCCATCCATCCATCCAACCATTCATCCAACCGTTCATCCAACCGTTCATCCAACCGTTCATCCAACCGTTCATCCATCCATCCATCAGAGGAACTTTCATCATTAAACTAAACTTTTTTCTGTTGAACTAAAATCACCAAAACAACCAACAGATCAAAACATAAACAAACCAAAGTTAATTATTTCATAAATGTTTTTCTCGTTAAGGTTCCAAGTTCCAGAACCTTAAAGTCCAGTTCTTGGTTTTTTTCTGACCGTTGGACATTTTCCTTCATGTCCATCTACAGACAACTAGCTGTGATTTTGCTTTGTGTGAAGAGTTTGGGTTGGTTCATCATCATCATCATCATCATCATCATCATCATCATCATCATCATCATCATCATCATCATCAGCTGAGGATCACCTGGAGAGGATCATCAGATCCACCAGGACAGAAACCAGCTGAGGATAAGAACCAACCTACATCAGGGGGAAACGAACCAGAAACAGAACCTGTCACCGGCAGACAGCAGACAGAATCCGGATCATCTCTGACCCAAACCTCAGCAGCCTCACACTCTTCCTCAGCAGCATCAGAGTCTTCCTCACTTTTACCTGCTCGGATGAGGAAAAGCTTCAGAAAAACATGCGGAAGTTTCCAGTTTCAGCTCAGCGGCTCCGAACTGAAATCAGCTCTTCTTCACCCTCATCCTCCTCTTCCTCCTCGTCTGGCTGCTGGAGAGCCTCTCCGCTCCGCAGCCGCTCTCCGCACATTTATACCCGGGGAATCCCGGAGAGGAACGGGCCGCGGCGCCCCCTGCAGGCCGAGTCAGGCAGCGCGCCGTGAAGAGAAACTTCAGCTTCTTTCGGCGGAAATAAAATCAGCTTTTCTTCATGACACATCCTCCAGACCAGCGCGGAAGCATCCCGAGGTGTGAGGACGTTCCAGAAGTATTCATACTGGTTGAACTGAGCAATACAAATCAGAAAACAATGGCTTCGATCTGAAAAGTGTGGCATGCTTCTGCATTTGGAGATGGATGGAAGCCAGAGAATCACTGAACATAAAGCTTCCTGATATGGGTTTTCAGCTGGACTTTGACTAGGCCATTCCAGTGTGTTCAGAGCTGCTGCCCTGCAGGAAGTGATGTGAGTTTATTTATTTATTGCACAAAAATCAAATCAGAAAAAGGACAATCATAAAAACTACTGAGGATGTTGTGCAGGAAATGTTTCAATGACCTAAAAAAATATTTTTGTTCACAGGGCAATATCCAATATCCAACTTGAAAACAACTTTGCTGCAGACCTTTTAACAGCACAAACTTGCACAAACAGAGCAGTGAGCACTCAGACTATTTGCTGGATCTTCTGATGAGGCTGGCGGTTCTGAGCTGACTTTCTACGCCTGGGGTCTGAAAAAACTCCCATTTTTGAAAGCTTTATGCGTTTTAGAGACATTCGACATGTGCTGCTGTTTGATCAAATATGGAGCTTTGTAATCTTTCAGTGCAGCACTAATTACATAATAATGTATTTTTCTGTCTCTTCTGTATTTCAGTTACCAAAAAATCACTTCTAAAAGATCTTCAGAAAACAATCTTTTATTAGGTGTTCGGTGACTGTGTACCTGCACACAGTTCCAAACTAAATGTCGAATTCAAAAATTCTATATTTATTTTGGGAATTAAATGTTTAGTTTGGATGCTAAACATTTAATAAAGCATACATTTTTGGTTGTTGATTAAATATTTCGTCTCACCCAGAACGTTCAAGACAAGATGTACAGAAAATGGATGGATTTAATGTTTAGTTTCATCTATGATACTCTTTATGTTTGAATTACATGTGAAAATATGACTGTAAACTGTTACATATTTCATATGAACATTATGGGATGTTTGTAAAGTTACAAAGTCAGAAAGCTTTTGGTTTAATCATTAAATAGAGAAAAAAATAGTGGTCATTTTTCAAACATTGAGCTTCCGTCGTTTTCCGCCACTAGATGTCGCTGTTAGAAACCAAACTCCAGGCTTTTTTCTCATCACAATCAAACTTCAACATCTTAGTCACTTTGTTTCCACCCTTTGAGCTTCATTATGGATGAAAAGTGATGATTCTTGTGTTTAACCTACCTGAAAGATAAACTGTAATCGTTTTAGACTTTACAAAACAGCGACGTCGAAAACTTCCGGTGGGTACCGGAAGTTCGGTTTTGCGTTCCAGCTTGATAAAGTTCTGAAAGGCGGAAGTGGAGGAGAAACAAAGCCCAGAGGTGACGGAGTTGGAGTTTAACTGTAAAGTTCTTCTTTCCTGAGACCCGGGAAAAACACAGCCGTGAGTTTTAACCGTTTGTCGTCTCGTATTTCTCAGATTCTCATTTTCTGGCCCTTTCGGTCAAAAAGTTGAAACTTCATCGCCTTAAGGCCGCTGACGTTGAAGCCAAACGTCTTAAAATGTCTTGTTTGACTCGGAATTAAAAGTTTAAAAATTCACGTTTTCTTAAAGATCTCCATTTATTATTGAGTTGAATCCTCTGTGAAAAGCCGGGATCTGCTGGGATCTGCTGGGATCCCACTGGACCAGATCCAGCTGCTGGAGCCATTCAGATCAAACTTTGGTCGGATAAAATCCGGGCCGAACTTCCTGCAGGACTCCTGGCTGAACAGAAAACCCATATATCCTCTTTTTAGCTGTTTAGTTTGGTAACTACCGACGTTTTAGTTTAAATTGTTAGTTTTACGGATTGAGTTTGGTGGAGATAAAGTCCGATTTTCCCAGAAAGTTTTGTTGAGGTGAAATGTTTAAGATTTGCTCTGATTAAAAACCGTTTTTCCTTATATTTCTGAATCACGGTTGGTGTTTTAAACCTGAGATGATGGGAAAGTTTGAAATTGAACACATGGTTGCTGTTTTTCACTTTCACTTGCAGAGCAAACAGAAATCCCCTCCAAATGTTTGTTTTTGGTTTTTCCTTGAGGTCACATATTTCCCTGCAGCTTCATCTAGTTCTGCATGATGTTAGGAATAAATGTCATTCATTGAAATGTTGAATATTGTCTAATTATTGCAGTAAAGTTTGCAGTTCTGTCGCAGTAACATGTAGCATTATTCTAATAATTGACCCAAAACATGCATGAATACTGATATTGTGAAAATCCAGTCATCCTACAGATGTTTTTATGTAGAAATCTGTGTCTCATCTGATCTTCAGTTTGGTTTTTCCGACAATTTCTCTGTTGTTTATTGATAGAATTGAAACAAAAAAGGGTCATTTGTGTCTCAGAACCAGTTTTGGATCATAAGAGCCTCAAACTTTCTGGTTCTGGATCAGAGACGTTCACATTTCTACTTTAGTCCTAGCTGCTGTTCCTGATCTAGACCAGAACCAGAACCAGGCCATGCATCAGCCTGTGGTGCGTTCAGTGCCTGTCAGGAACATTTAGCTCCAGAATCTTACAAGTTTCAGTGGTTCGCCCGGTCCTTAGAGGAAAAACAGAAGTCTAAAATGTTCCCTGTTCCTCAGCAGATACATGAGGCCTAAACCAATCACAGTGAAGGGCGGGACCTCCTGCTCTCTGATTGGCCCAGCTGGTCACCAGGACAAAATGTGGCAAAGCTAAACCTGAGCCTCTAGAAGTCATCTGATGCTCCGCCGAGGAGCCGCCAACCGCCCAGGTCCAACGTCGGCTTCCTGCCACCCGGGGGGCAAAGGGGGCGTCGCCTTCCTGCCACCCGGGGGGCAAAAGGGGGCGTCGCCTTCCTGCCACCCGGGGGGCAAAAGGGGGCGTCGCCTTCCTGCCACCCGGGGGGGAAAGGGGGGCAGCATCATGCTGCGGGACAAACAGTGAAGCAGACCAGACTTTTCACCCATTGGGCCAAAAATAATTTTTAAAAACTAAAATATCTCAGTCCATGAAACATTTCACTCATCGTTTGGTTTCCTTCTGTTTTATCATTTCATTCACTCATTTATTTTCACTTAAGTTCAAATTTCCTCTCATTGAAAGTCTTTACACACATTCTCAGGCGGCTGCGCGTCTCTTCTGCAGAACTTCTTTAATGAATGGTTCCAACAGGAAGTGGTCATAGACCTGGACTCTGATGCGTCTTCCTGTTCTGTCTCCAGCTCCATCATGGCCAACGAAGTTTACACGGCGACAACGGTTTCTAACCCGAAGGCGCCGTTCTGGCTCGGCCCGGCGTCGGAGCATCTGGACACGCCGCGCTTCGCCCTGAAGATCCTGGAAGTGGTGAGGTCAAAGTTCACTCAGCTCTGAGTAACGCTGTCTGGGCAGAACCGCCCGGGTCCTCTGGTTCTGATCAGGCTACCTTGGTTACTGCAACTGGGCTCGAGGTCCAGATGTATAAACACGGCTGGATCAGAACCAGAACCGAACCAGAACCACTGAACTGAGTCGGGAACTGTTCAGTTCAGTGGTTCAGTTCATAATCAGATTAAATTTAAACCTTTTAGTTTCAAGCTGTAAACTAATCCAGTCTTTCCAGTGGAAGGTTCTGTTCATGTTCCGGTACTGACCCGGTTCCCCAGTCTGGTTTCCTGTTGGCTCCATGCTCTGAACCCGTTGCTGTGGTTTCCCTGAGTCACTTCTTCTTTCTCTTCTCTCTGAATCCTCGGTTGTTGTGACAGGAAGTTTCACTCGTCGCCTCGTCTGTCGGCTCAGAGTGACGCAGAGGCCAGAAGTTTACATACAGCCAGTGAAAGACGCGGGCGGCCATGTTTTTTGGTTCTGGTTCGGCTCAGGGTCGTTTCTATAAAGACATTCTGGTCCTTAAACGCCGCTCAGCGAGGAAGACGGATCAGAACCACGTGTTGTCCTCCACACACGTGTTGCGATGGCAGCATCATGCTGCGGGACAAACAGTGAAGCAGAACAGACTTCTCACCCATTGGGCCAAAAATCATTTTTAAAAACTAAAATCATAAAAATCTCCTTTCAGAGAATCCTGGTCCGAGATCCAGAACTAGAGGTGGTTCTGATCCAGGTTTTTCATTCTGGGTTCATCTGAAGAAAAATATATAATTTCATCATCAAAATAAAATCAGAATCTGGGTCAAAGTTCCACGGAGGAAATTCAGATTACAAGTCAACGTTCTGGCCGTTAAAGTTCAGGTCCGGTTCTGGTTCTGCTCTTCAGCAGGAAGCAGCAGACGGAGAAGTGAAAGTTCTGCAGGACCCGTTTGGCTGCAGTCAGCAGAACCACCTGCTGTCGCAACGGCGCCTAGTAGGGCATCCGGGCCGAACAGAACCGGCTGCAGAAACCGGATGTTCAGAGTTCTGGGCCTCCATCTGACCGGTTCTGATTCTGTAGGACGGGTCCATCTAGAACCTTCCTCTGGTTCTGTGTTTGGTGGCCCGACCCGGCTCCTCACACTGGACCGGTATCAGAACCAGACGTCTGACTGAGTCAGTGAGTGATCAGAATAAACCGATCAAATCCACAGAGTCAGCACTTCCTGCTGCAACCTTTCACAATAAAATCCTTCCTCTTTTCTCACATCCTGGGTCCAGAGGCTTCAGGGGGAAAGAAGGGCAGGTTCTGGAGGTTCTGGAGGTTTTGCAGGTTCTGGAAGTTCTGGAGGTTCTGGAGGTTTTGCAGGTTCTGGAGGTTCTGCAGGTTCTGGAGGTTTTGCAGGTTCTGGAAGTTCTGCAGGTTCTGGAGGTTCTGCAGGTTCTGGAGGTTCTGCAGGTTCTGGAGGTTTTGCAGGTTCTGGAGGTTCTGCAGGTTCTGGAGGTTCTGCAGGTTCTGGAGGTTTTGCAGGTTCTGGAGGTTCTGCAGGTTCTGGAGGTTCTGCAGGTTCTGGAGGTTCTGCAGGTTCTGGAGGTTTTGCAGGTTCTAACTCAACACAGAGCAGAGGCTCCGCCCCTTCAGGTGGAGGACATAGATATATATACAATAGATTTCTTTTGAGGCAGCGTCTGGATGTTGTCTTTCTGTAACAGTCTTGTATAGTAACAAAGTAAAAATACTTCACTACTTTACTTAAGTATATTTTAGAGTACTTCATACTTTCCTCGAGTAAGAACATTTTTGATAACTTTCGCTTTTACTTCACTACATTTCCGAACTTAATTTTATACTTTTACTCCGATACATTTTCAATGTGTGGTTTAGTTAGTCGTTACAAAAAACGAGAGAGAAACACAAATGTTATGACCAACCAACTGACCGACTGCAACAAAGTCTACTTGCCTGGGCTTGTTCATCTCCAACAGGATGCTCAGGTTTCTCCTCCCCACCTACGTCACAAAGTCCAGCAAACAGTCTGATTGGTTAGTGCTCCGTTTGGTCTGTGCCGTTAAAATGTTCGTTTGTGCAGCTTTGGTTTCTGAGATATTAAAATGATTTTTAGGCCATCCAGAGTCACCATCCCCCCATTTGCTCCAAAACAAACCAAAGTGGGCTGGTTCATTAATGCTCCGTTTGTGCCGTTAAAACAAACGCAGCAAAGTTGTTTTCAATGTGGATTTTGACTGTTCCAATATCCGGTGTGAGCGGCGTCTAGCTCGAGGTTGATCCGATTCATGAACGCTAATTTGGGCCAGCCGGTCTCTGGTCTCCTCCTTCCTCAAGGTGTCGGAGTTTCACTCAGGGAGAGTCAATAAATTTTACATCCAAACTCTCCAGAGAAACTCATGGAAATAGATTTCTTGCCTTGTGACCAACTGACACTAAATTCATGCAGTTACACGAGACACACTGTTCTCTAGTGAATTTTTAGTCATACTCAATATTTTCAGTAATTGTAATCTTAAAAAGTAGATATTTTGGATGGCCTAAAAAATCATTTTTAATATCTCGGAAACCAAAGCTGCACAAACGAACATTTTAACAGCACAAACCAATCAGACTATTTGCTGGATTATTTGAGTAGGTGGTGTCAGCTTCATGGAGGTCTGTTTCCTTCTCCCATTAAACACCAAGTTAACTAAAAGCTCTCCTCTTCAGATGTCAATAAGCTGCATTTCCCTCCCAATTCTTTTTCTTTTGCATAATGACCAGTTGTTGCACCTATAGTGTGTGAAGTAGAGGAATCCTAACGGGGTTTTTTTTATGTTTGCTGCATTTTCTGTACTGACTATTTATTTTTCTCATTTTCAGCACTGACCTTACTGAAAGGGAAAACTTGAGGCTTATAGAAACTTTGTATTTTCTGTCCTGGAGGGTTTACTAAGAAGCTGGTTCAGTTGTAAAGCAGGTTAAGTTAATCTAAAGCAGGTTAAGTTAACCTAAAGCAGGTTAAGTTAACCTAAAGCAGGTTAAGTTAACCTAAAGCAGGTTAAGTTAACCTAAAGCAGGTTAAGTTAACCTTGTAGGTAAAGCATCTAATGTTCTTAACTAAATGATGCTGCAGGTTTATCTATTAGCAGGTTTCATTTTCTCTGCACTTGGTTGTGTTCATTATTTTAAGTATATTTAACAAGTTTACCAAAATATAAAAAATGTCATTCAAACTGCATTTGCCTTGTTTTACTTTTTACTTTTCATTTCATTACTTGAGTTCATCCATTGTTACAGTAATTTCCAGACTTCAGTACAAAACATTTCAGATACTTTAAGACTTTAACTCAAGCAACATTTCAATCAGTGACTTTTACTTTGACCAAAGTCATATTTTGGAGCGGTGCCGATACTTTTACTGGACTCTGAGATTTCACTACTTTATACACCACTGCTCTGTAATGTTTTAGTTTCTGCTGCTGCCTTTTGTTAGCAGCTCTCCATTAAAACCAGTTTAATCTCACTGGTTTCAAATGAAACTCAGTATGAACTCAGGAAGAATAACCAGTCGGTTCCGTTAGCAGCTACATGCTAGCCTCACTGCAGAACCAGGAGCAGGAAACCAGATTCTCCATCATCCATTTTCTTCCACCCTCGTTCCTGGTGGGTCAGGAGGTTCTGGTGGGTCAGGAGGTTCTGGTGGGTCAGGAGGTTCTGGTGGGTCAGGAGGTTCTGGTGCCTCTCCAGCGAACGTTTCAGGGTCACCTGGAGGTCGCAGGGCAACACAAACTCTTCCTGTCTATTTGGACGCTGGCTGATGATGTCATTATGTAGCGTCACCTGGTTGGCTGGTAGTTTACAGATCAAGATGGCCGCCCTTACTGGGCCGGATACATCACATAACTGTGGTTCTGGTTCTGATGGTTTGCCGCGCCGTGTCCCCAGCTGCTGTCCCTGGTGGCCTTCGTCCTGGAGGAGACGGTGTCCACCTGCCTCAGCTGCTCTCCTCTGTACTTCTTTGAGTTTGTGAGCTGCACAGCCTTCCTCTTCACGGCGCTGCTCCTCTTCCTCCTGTCCACCACGCTGCACAGCAGGGTGGGCATCAGCTGCTGGCCCAAAGTGGTAAGGTTCTGCTCTGGTTCTGCTCTGGTTCTGGTTCTGTCTGTTCCTGTTGTATTACTACTGAAGTGATGATTTTTCTGTCCTGCAGGACTTCCTGTACACGCTCCTCATCGCCGTCTTCTTCTTCATCGCCTCCATCGTGTTTGCAGCCAACAACGGCAAAACGACGGTGGAGACCATTGCTGTGGTGAGACGCTGTCCCCCAGGGTTCCTCCGCGTCCCCCAGGGTCCCTCCGCGTCCCCCAGGGTTCCTCCGCGTCCCCCAGGGTTCCTCCGCGTCCCCCAGGGTCCCTCCGCGTCCCCAGGGTCCCTCCGCGTCCCCCAGGGTCCCTCCGCGTCCCCAGGGTCCCTCCGCGTCCCCCAGGGTCCCTCCGCGTCCCCCAGGGTTCCTCTGCGTCCCTGGGGGACGGAATTATTTTCTTCATTATGAGAATAAAGTTGTGAAAAGATTGTTCTGAAATAATAATAATAATAATATGATGATGATGATGATGATTTTTCTGTGTTTAGAAACAGAAATGTTTTTGTTGATGTTTTTTCTTATTAAATTCACTATTTTCCATTTTTGTAATTTTCTGACTTTGTTTAACTCCTGGTTTCTTATTTCCTGTCTGCAGCTGTTCGGCTTCCTGGCCATGGTGGCGTTCATCCTCGACGTCATCCTCTTCCTGAAGGTCAGAGGTCATCCCTTCCAGGGCGCTCAGGCCCCGCCCACCACCAACGGCGCCGTTCCTCCGCCTGAGGCCGAGAAGCTGAACGGAGACGCCAACGGAACGGCGTAGAGCACGGCGGCGCCTGCGGGGGGCGCCTGCGGGGGGCGCTCCGTCAGCCAATCAGAGCCGCCTGAGACACAAACTGGTTTTTATTGCTGTAGATTCAGAACCAGCAGACACTAAAACAACCAAACCACTAAACTCTGCTCCACTGGGAGTCACACGCCTTACTGGTTCTGACTGGTTCTGACTGGTTTTTACTGGTTTTCTCCTGCTCTGCCAGCTTTGCTTTTTAACAGTTGCCTTATAATTCTGGATATCTTGTAGAAATTATGTAAGCTCCTCATTAACTTGCCACCGTTTCTTGATGGTTTTTTTGTTTTTAAATGGAATTTTTCTGTAAATTTTCAGATTTTTGTAGATTTGTCCAGATGTGTCGATTATTTTACTCCCTGAAGGAAGATGAATGTTTGGTTTTCCAAATGAATCGGGCAGAAACTGTTCAGCTGCACATTTATGTCCAAATGAAATGTTTCATATCAATCATCTGCAGATTTCACGGCAATTAGGATGAATCTGAAGTGAAACTCCTGTCACTGTCCAGCAGGGGGAGCTGTAATCTCATTTGAGTCATTTTCCATCATTTCCTCTGAAATCAGTTTCTTCTGATGTGAAACATGAACCGTGTGACGTTCCTGCAGCCCATGGATTTATCTGCCTGCAGCTTCGTGTTTCTAAATGTTTCTGCTGCTGAGACAGAAAACTGATCATATCGGATCTCCGGTTTGGGTCCGGGTGCAACGTCTGTCCTGCTGTTACACCTTTAATCGTCTTAAAGGAAACTATGTACTTCCTGTCAGGCTAAGGGAACCACTTCCTGTTTTTATTTAGTAGAAAATCACAGTTTCTGCCTTAAAGATGATCTTTACCTTTTCTGCTGTTTTATAAATGTTCAGTCATCCGTCAGATTGAGCGGTTTATGGTAATATCGTTGGTTTTGTCTCCGTATCGTTGGTTTTGTCTCCGTATCGTTGGTTTTGTCTCCATATCGTTGGTTTTGTCTCCGTATCGTTGGTTTTGTCTCCATATCGTTGGTTTTGTCTCCGTATCGTTGGTTTTGTCTCCATATCGTTGGTTTTGTCTCCATATCGTTGGTTTTGTCTCCATATCGTTGGTTTTGTCTCCGTATCGTTGGTTTTGTCTCCGTATCGTTGGTTTTGTCTCTGTATCGTTGGTTTTATGCCCGTAGACTAGAGAGGACTGCAAGTTCGAGGAGAGCTTTTGTTTCTCCTGGTTTAGTTTCTTCCAGATCTCCTGATCGATCTGAACATGTTTGAATCTGTTTTATTGCCAATAATCTGTGTGACAATCATGTAAAAACATGAATGCAAGCGGTTTTTCTGTCAGACGATCCTGTTTGTATCGGCATCTTCAGATCCAATCAAATGTTTTCTATGATTTGTATGAACTGTAACTTCCTGTTTCTCTGTTGCTGCATTTTAATAAACTTTTTAACTTTATTCATGTTTTGCTTCTGGTTTCTTCCTGTTCAAACATCAGAACCACTTCAGTTCTGCAGAAACTGCCAGGCTCTTAATTTGAAGAACTTTATTTTGTGAATTACTAGTTTCTCTAACTGGTTTAAAGGGCCAGTGTCATGTAAATTTCTCTCATCAAAACAAACTGTGAGTGTTGCCTAGATTTAACAAATCAGATTTAACAAACCATTCAGTTGCTCAACTCCTGGGTGGCCCTAGCCCCGTCTCCGAGGCGCAGCTCCTCCCCCACTCGGCTCCTTCAGACTAGCCAGCAGTAATTAGCAAACAGATGCTAAGCTCGTTATAGCAGCTGCTGCTCAGAGCGACGCTGGTAAAAATGTCAAAGCCTTAATAGAGGAGCAGTGTTGGGACGCCGTACTGGAGGCAGAGCTTCAGAAAGAGCAGGAGCTTCTTAAAGAGACAGAGGTGTTAAATTATGAAGTCAAATTTTTTTGAAATATGCATTACTTCTAACTTCTGTAGGTAATATGGTGGCTGTATTATAAAATGTCACTATTTGCCTCTTTACTTTTAGTTTCATGCTTCACGTTTCTTAGCACTGATCCAGTGATCAGTTCGTTTTGATCCTCTGAGGAGGATTCAGTTTACTGTCGTCTGGCATCAGCCAATCAGAGCCCAGATTAGACCTGTTGTTGCCCCGCCCATAGCCACGCCCGCCACTTTCATTTGATAGATAATTCAAAGTGACACTACAGGAACACATTTAATTATCCATATCAGCTCTTTCCAGTTTGCATTTAATGATCTGATGACATATTTAAGAAATTAACCGTCTACATAAATGTTAAACATTTCTTTATTAAAGTTTAAATAGAGCTGCAGATGTTAGTTCATCTTTTCTGGATTCAACCGAGTCCAGCTGATTCACTCATCACCTGGGAAGTCTGCCCAGTTCTCCCAGTTCTCCCAGCTGCCTTGTGGACGCACTGTGCCGGTTTGGCCAGCAGGTGGCAGTAAACGGCTTCACCAGATCAAGGAGAATAAAGTGAGATTCAGGAGGACCAGCTGGGTTCTGGTTCTGGTTCTGGTTGTGTTGAAGGGACAGTATTCTGTTTTCCATTCACATATTTCCATTTTCCAGTCCAGTAATTATGTCACATTCAGTGTTATAAAAGTAAATATGTCAAATATGACAAAATACATTTCAGCTCCTGATTTATTATCTTGAAATTGGGCCTCTGTCTGTTTAAGAAGCTCCTGCTCTTTCTGAAGCTCTGTCTCCAGTACGTCGTCCCAACATGGCTCCTCTATTAAGCCTTTGACATTTTTACCAGCGTCGCTCTGAGCAGCAGCTGCTATAATGAGCTCAGCAGCTCCACCAGCTGTTTGCTAATTGCTGCTGGCTAGTCTGAAGGAGCTGAGTGGGGGAGGAGCTGCGCCTCGGAGGCGGGGCTAAGTCCACCCAGGCATTTTGTCTGAAAGAATGAAGGCAAAACTCCTGTGAAAAATATTAAATCTGTGGTTCCCAAAGTTTTTCTTCTGGCCCCCCATGGATTCCAACAAAGTTCCCTCCAAAAAAGAAAAATAAATCTAAAATTGTAGTTCTATACTGTAGAAGAAATGTGTTCCCTCAAGCACATTTATTTTTTATTATCTGTAACAATATTCAACTTTGCTATCATCAATGCATTTAAAAAGCTTCTTTGCAATGGCACTGCGCCCCCTAGGGGGAGCACCACTGCATTACATCATGATGGAATGATTTGAAAAAATTGATTTTACACGATGCTGGCCCTTTAAATTGTAACTCATCTAGAGTCTGGAGGGCCACAGAAGTGGCTGTGGTGAGCCGGGTTCGGCCCGCGGACCTTGACTTTGACACAGGTTCAATGGCTGCTGAAAGTTTTGCTGAATAATAACAGGGTTGAATCTGTTGTGCGTTTCTAAAGAGTTAAAATCAGATTCAAAGTATTTTAGGACTGCAGTGGCTTCTGGTCTGACCTTTGACCCAGTTTACCTGGTAGGCACAATAACGATCAGACTTTCAGCTTTTCAACCCTCTAGGAGGTTTTATTGGCTGTGAGCTGAACTTTATTTCCTCTGTTAAAAGTTCAGATGGAAACATTTTGGTTGAAATGTTTCCTGGGACCCTGGAGGTCCAGCAGCCTGGAGTTAATCTTAATCCTCAGATCCAACTAAAGGTCCAACATTGAAACATGTCAGTTTCTGACCCAATGACCCGACAGGCGACTCGTCTCTGATCCAGCTGCTTCTGCTCCGTGTCTGCAGGGAGAAACATGAACTCTGTCACCTCAGAGTCAGAGGCATCCAAGGAAAACGTCACTCCGACCTTCCAGCACGGCCTCCTGCTGAAATGTGAAGTTTCTGTGCTGAGGCCTCGTTGTTTCCCTAAAAGGAAGTGGAAACCGCTCCCTGCTCAAACAGCCTTTATTCTTCTGAGCGATGACAGAGCATCCATATCTGCAGACATAAATCACTGCAGCCTGCGGTTCCCACAGCTCCATGCAACCCAAACGCAACCGGCTGAGATTCAGACCGAACTCCTAAAAGACGAGTTTCTGTCCATGTTTCCTCCAGTCTGTTCACCCCACAGAGAAGACTCCAGGACTCCAGTTGCAACAATTTGCAACTGTTTATGTTTTATGTCTTTACTTTTTGTGTCTATGATGTCACCTGCAGACTCATTTCACCCTGAAAAATCTGGACATCATTTAAAACACTTCAACTGGAAAACGCCCTGAAGCTTGAGGCGTCTGCTGACCTCCGCTGACCTCTGCTGACCTCTGCTGACCTCCGCTGACCTCCGCTGACCTCTGCTGACCTCTGCTGACCTCCTCTGACGACTTCTGCACTAATGCTGGCCAGAGCCACGAATCCCGGCTCCTCTGCACAGAGAGCAGCTCGGTCAAAAAATAACAGCAATAATTTGGATCATCTGCATAAATATTTAGCCTGCTAGCTTATCATTTAGTGAGTCAACTAAATATTTAGGTTGAGGTCGAATATTTAGCTTTGTGAGCTAAATATTTAGCTACAGACACAGAAGCTTGATGATTAGCTTGCTAGCTAAATATATATTAAGTATATATATTAACTCAAATAAATCCAGGTGGACAAGTTTCTGTTTGTTCTCCTTGAAGGTCTGAAAGTTTCCCTCTTATTGGACCTTCAGAAAATATTTCTCATGTTGATTTCTGCGCCTCCACTTCCTGACAGATTCATGACTTTTAACAATTATAAAGTGAATTGGCTTCAAACTCCCGTTTAATAACTTCCTTTGATGTTTCATATAATTTCTGAAAAAATTAAGTAATTTTTTCTAACTTATTGAGATGCAGCAGCAAAATAGATCTTTGTCTGTTTGGCATTATTAGAGAATATAGTTTCCAGATTCCTGTCTTATCCAATATGACTTCATAAATCTGTAATAAATATGATCAGATCCACATTTTCATGTTTTCATTCTCACATGAAAACATCAAATCTAAATGTTATCCTCATATTTCCAGATAAAGAACAAAAGTTGTTTATACACTGAAAAAAATAAGTCATTGGATGAACATAAAAAAATTATGGAAAGGATTTCCAGCTGATTGCTTTGCTTTATTTCAGCGCCATGTAATTGTGTTACTCCTGTTTAAAGCAAATGTGTTGGTTCAACGCAATATATTGCGTTTATTCTTATTTAAATCAAATGAGTTGGCTCAACTCCATTCATTATGGTTATTCAAATGAAATGTGTTGGCTCAACATATGTTTTAAAGGTTCCTTTAACTCAGTTACTATAGCATGACCCAGTGTAATGCAATACAGCCAGCCCAACTAATCTGCAATGTTTAGGACCAAATCATTGATGTAACTTCATTAAGATGAATATAAATCTAGTTGAAACCACCTTATTTTACAGTGGTACCTTCACACTACCTGATTCAGTAGGTCCAACTCACGAAAAGCAAGTTAGCTCAACAAATATGCTTCATGCTAAAAGACAGCTAGTTAATCGTGTGGAAATCCTTTCCATTATTTCATGACGTTAATTCAAAGACATTTTTTCAAGTGTTAATCAAGCATTTTAAGATAGCACTAGGTGAAAGTGTAGGAAGAACACTCAACAATTAGAAAAGGTACAACACAATTGTATTTTCAGAATTGTTATACATCGTTTTTTTACACAGCACAAAACACAGCTGAGTTGGACATTGAAATAAAAAAACAACTACAAAAAGGTTACAGTTTCATTTCCCAGCCAATTCCTTACAACATAAAACATGCTAGTATAGTTGCTCAACTTAGAGAACTGTAACAATATAAATCTTTTCTACTGCAGACTTTAAACACTCATTTTCCATATGAAACTTAACTCAACTTAGCGGCGAGTTTCATATTGAGAACTTGTGCTTTCTTTGATAAGTTCTTTCCATCCAATTTCATTATTATTTTCTGTATTACTTCAAAGGTATGCTTGAGTTACTGAGCAAGTTGAGTGCTGAACGCACTAAACTTGAGGGTAGCTCAAGTTTAGTGCATAGATTAGTCCCAGCAGCATCACTATTGCAGAAGATACACTGCCCAAGCTGTTCATAACTTCCACCTCCTCCAGGACAATCCCAACATCCAGATGTGCATCGGCAGCCTCTGCACCCTCTGCTCAAATGACGATTCCGAGGACAGTCTCGGCTTTGGCCATTTCATTCATCAACGTCCTAAGGGAGTTAGGGAAGGGTATTGGGGGAGAGACAATTCACATGTAATTAAATAAATAAATTAAGACTGACATTGATTGAGTCACTCATGGACCTTAGTTGGTGAAAGTATTTTAACAACTCTTAGGAGTTCTATTGTAAACACAAAGAGAATTTAACATACCATGTACTCCCTCACCAGCTTCTCTGGATCTTCATTTAGGTACACACAGACATTTGAGGATGCACTCTCGTCTGACCTCAGCAGTGTCATCCTAAATATGCAAATCAAAAAACAATGACAACAATCTCAAAACT